AGTAAAAGCAAGATACCAATAGGGGTTTATCGATTATTCTTTTATTTTTTGATGAAAATCGATTTATCCGTTATAATTAATCGATTATTTTCGATTAATCGAACATTTTCAATAAATTATTTTTGTTTTTATAAGATAATGGAATAATCGATTTTAAAGGAAATGCAAAAAGAAAATAGAAAAATCGATTTATCGTTTAATCGAATTTTTTAATTAATCAATTATTTTCGATTAACCGAATATTTTAAATTTTTTAAAGGCATTCGAATGATTTGTTTCGAAGGGAATACGAAAAAAATAGATTATATGAAAATAATCGTTTGGTCGAATATAATCGGTTATTTTATACGATCGATATTTCGTTTATTTTTTAGAATTATCAATTTATCAGCTTTTTATTAATCGATTATTTTCGATTTTTCAAAGATAATCGAATAATCAATCGATAATTCGTTTTTTTTTAAATCGATTTATCGGTTGATCGACTTTTTAATTGATCGATTATTTTCGATTTTTCAAAGATTATCGAATAATCTGTTTCAATGGAAATACGAAAAACTATATTATTTGGAAATAATGGATTATTTAAAATAATCGATAATTTAGTTATTATTTTTTGTAAACACCGATTTATCGGTTAATTGGCTTTTTAATTAATCGATTATTTTTTATTTTTCAAAGAGTAGTCGATTTTAAAGGAAATACGAAAAAATAGATTGTCTGAAAATAATCGAAGTAAGAAGAAGTTATAAGTGTAACCAAATTCTATTTTTATAAGTTAACCTGTCCTTCTGTGATATAAACTTTCAATAATAATATTGATTTTAATTTTTTTCGCAACTGGTGATATAATGAATTTTCGTAACCAATTTCATAATACTTAAGATTATGCAACTGATTGCATGACACATCGATTACAAAAAATGTCACTTTATAAGTCAAAATTTAAAAAAATATTTTATTTCGTTTATGAAACTATAGGTAGGTACTTAATCTAAACTAAATCGTTTTTCCGAGATTTATTCACGGTATATTTCCTTTGGTATCAAGTTCAATAGAACCAAAACGTCATAATTTATTCCATGTGTGCCGTAGTATTTTTATAACTAAGTACCTATGTTTCCTGTTTTGCTATAAAACATATTTTGATAATAATTTTGTTACCTACGTTTTGAACCAGCCAAGCACATACGAGTATATAAATAAATGACTTTATTTTAAGAATTATTTTAATATTATAAAAATGTACTAGGTATTTACTTAATAGTAATTTTCTGATGTCCAAAAACCAAATTAAAAATTGTATATAAGTCCCTTAATGATTAATTTATTATAGATCGATTTTAAATGTTACTAATAAAATATAATACATTGCATTCGTCCTATTTTGAAAAAAATAATGTATAATTTGCTTTTTCAATTTACTAATTATAGGTAGGTATTCCTTAATGAGAATTAATGAAATTGTTAAAGATGTCATAAAAAACCTACCGAGCGTCAGTAGTTTGCTGATTGGTTACAGAAATAGTGAATAATTAATAATTAGAATTATTGGCTGTAGAAGTGGATAAAGTAGGTAGGCTCCGATTACAATTAGAAGAACACCGCTACGTCATAACCATTTCTTCAAATTTCGAATACATATTATCTATAACTATCAATAAATAAAAATAAGTAAGTTGTTAGGTATAAAACAATATTTCCTATATTCCTATAATATTAACACTCCACTAAACCTCCACAAGGCGGCGATAACCAATTCATTACTTTGCCGAATGATGACGTAGCTGTGTCCTTATTGTAATCGGACCTTACTATTTACTTTTAGGTTATCTTTATAATTGATACCACAAGATATGAAAATATTCTAAAAAAAATTCTCACCTCGCGTGGTATTTGGAAAGATTATTCATCAATCAAATCAAATCAAATTTGTTTCCGTAAGATGATTCTTTGTTTCCAATAATGTACCTATATTTGAACAATCAAAACGATTTGTATTCACTTTGCGTCACCTTTTTGATAAACGTCACACTGACGTTCCTCAAGGTTGAGTAAAAACACTGCACTATTCAGTGTTTTAAGATACAGTTTGTTTTGATTGGCGCGTGTTGAAATAAAAAGGGATTGTTATTGGTTGATGCATTATAGTGTTAATAAAGAGTAACACCACAAGAGGTGAGAGTTTTTTTAGTTTTTTGGGAAATTATGCGTTTAAATTGTACAAAACAAAATCCTCCTTAGAATATTTCGGAACTAAATTAATTAAAAATCTTTAATTCAAAATATACATGCCTTATTCATTTTAAATGAGTTTTTAATTATTATCACCGAACTTAATTATAAATTTCTAAAGTTATTTATTAACCGCTTTGGTGTAGACGTACTTAATGTAAGGATACAACTATTAATTATTGCCAAGATATTTTTCTGAGTTCTAAGTTGGAATATAATTCTGAGTTAATCAGTAAATTAAAAAAAAAATTATATTATTTGGTCTTCTACGCTCCAATTGTTTAAATTCAGTCTTACGCCTTTGCGTATAGATTAAAAAAGTTTTTATTTATTAAAATTAGAGACTTACATTTATAATTAGAGTACCTATTACCACCATCCAACCCCATCCACCGTCTTGGTGTGGCTTTTTTGAATTCATTGTTTATTTACCGAATAAGGATCTCTCGAATCACTCCGAGATGTCTATACTAAACTTGCTACTCGATTCATAGACATAAATAATATTCAGATAAAGATTTATTATCTTTTTAAATGTCTGGATAAGCCTCTATCGACTGATAAGCGAAGGAGAGTAGAGATTGTATAAAAAAAATTAAATCATATGGAATTGATATTGATTAACAAAATTGTGACACACACTTCAATATCATATTTTCTTTCAATTATTTATTTTCAATCCGCACTCACATTAAAATTAAATTAATTCTTATCACTAACTTCAAAATATTTTTGATGGGTATTACTTTGCAACATTACACAATTTTTAATTGTTTAAAGATTGTAAAAATTAAAAAATCTTAGAAATTGATGTATATGTTTTAGGAGATCATTTATAAATAAAATAGAAACTAATAGTTCCAAATGAGATCCGTGTGGAATTCCAAAATTAGCACAAAGTTGTGTTTTACTATAAAATGTAAAGATATTTTTTATTTAGATGACGAACTATAAGAAGTATAGAAATAACAAAAAAGAAGGCCCGTGAAGCTAGCATCGCCAATTTTTTTTTTAAAGTTGGTATTCGTTTGTCCACGATTGTCCAACAAAAATTTTCGTTTAGCTATCCTCAAAACGAAATTATAACAAAATTAAAATTTGAGCTAAATTTCAAATCAGCCCCGCCATAAAAACTTTTTGATAATTTAAAAGTGACATTCGATTGTCTAGATTTGTCCACGTTTGTCCAACAAAAATGTTCCTTTGTCCATCCCCAAAACCAGGACATTTAAAAAATTAAAAAAAGAAAGCATGCACATCGCCTTCAGGGATAACGTTCCACATTCCATACGAACTAAATACGACAATCGTTTGTCCATACATTGTTTTCGTTTGTCCAGGGACTAATTTTCGTTTGTCCATCCAACAGAAATAAGTTATTAACAAATACAATACTCAAAATATGAACAATTATTAATATAAATACTGCTAGTAGGTGGACAAACGAAAATAAGGACTAACAAATGAAAATATTGTCTGGAGAAAGGATTGCAATAGTTAGTTTTAATAAATTTCTATTAGAAGAACTTACATTAATATTTGTTCATATTTTGGGCTCTTTGTTTGTTAATAATTAATTTTGCCGTATTTAATTCGTATGAAATGTATTAAGTTTGTCCCTAAAGACCATGTGCATGATTTTCAAAAAGTTTTTATGGCGGTGCGGATGTGAAATTTAGCTTAAATTTTAATTATTAACTTTTTTTGAAGAGTGAACAAAACAAAATTTTTGTAGCATAATCGAAGACAAATGAATGCTAACTTGTTTTTATAAAAATTCGCATTTGGCGGTGCTAACTTCACGAACTTCAAAAAAGATGTATGTAATCAATAGGTTTAAATACAACCAAAATTAATATCATAAGCCACTGACAATACCATACATTTTTATTTTAAATAGATCGTAATTGTCTAAAATAAAGTATACATTTTTCAGTATTATATTTTCACTTTTATAGTATCACTAGTGCCTAAATTATTTCCGGAAATTTTTACGAACTCACGAGTAGGTAGTTTGAAAAATATCCCGACTTTAAGATGGTATGAAAATTTTACACCGAATTTCAAAACTTGGTGGACATGAATTGAAATGTCATGCCAATTATGCATATTTGTCTTACATTTGAATTCGTTTAGTCCACGCGAAAAATCCAATTATTATTTAAGGTGTGATAAAGACGCAATTTGTCAACTTTAGTTTCATACAATAGAAGTATTTCTCAAATGTCAAAATAATGTCCATTGTAATTTCGTGTAGGGTACCCACGAAGAGAAAAATTATGGTTGTCTTGAAAAAGTTTTAAAATAAGAGCATTTGATTGTCTATAAAATAAAGGTGTAAAATTTTCTGATAAGTTTTCGTAATGGTTTCAAAACGTTAATAAACAGATTTCTCCAACCCTGCAGCACGCCTCTGGTAATAGTTGGAAACTTTCTTTTGAAATAATTTTTAAATTTTGAAATCTGGTTATTTTATGGTCCATTATTGATGACCAATAACATTTTTCAAGATCAAGGATTTTGTTGTTCTTAAGTATTAAAAAAAAATAGATAAATTAAGTGGCATTAAATATAAAATTAAAAATAGTCTGTAGAAAATTATTATACAATATAGTTTTCGATATAAAATCGTCAAAATCGGAAAGGAGGATTGAACTAGACATTTAGGCACATCAAATTAATTTATATCTATCATTACAGCATATAAGACTTACCAAAAATGAAGATTTTCGGTTAATCAGAAAAAATCTAAATATTCCACTTACGTTAATTAAAGCAGCTCCGAACACCACCATCCAACCCCATCCCCCGTCGGGGGGTTTCCTGGTACTAGATTCCTCCATCTTTCACAATAAAAATAAATCCTTTGTTGAAATGAACCCGACAAATTCTACTACCTACTAAACCTTATGCACTTCTTTACCCTTACCCGTACCAACTAATATCACATTATATATGTCACGATCCACATATTTGGATTAGCTGGTCATAATTCTCGAATTGTGGTGTCCCCTAGCAGAGATCATCGTTTTCCCGCGTGGTAAAAAAAAATATAAAATCAGTTTAAAAATAAGTTGGTCGCGCGAGTTAGACGTTTGGTAGCGAGTAATTGTCCGTAGCACGGAACGTTTAAATACTGGCTAAAAGTGTTAAATGTTGTGGATATTCATAAAGCCGAGTGCGTCTCACATGGGCGGCACGCCAGTCGGACAGAAATAAACTCTGGGAGTAGTCCGTATACAAACCCGTATATCTATAATTTGAATGCTCTTAATCTCTATTGAAAGATATATTTATTCTGCAAAATAAAAGTAAATGTATGTATTATCGTTTAAATTAAATTATATTTAGTTGTGCGAAAGGACACAGCGATATCTATGAAAACGAGTGTAAAATACACCAAATTGTGCGTACAAAAATAGTACCTACATGTATGGGGTATTTTGGAAAATAATAACTTGGGGAGTTTATGTGATAGTATTCTTTTTATAAATGATAACTCAAGATAATTACTATAAAAGTATATTCAGACCTACTATTAAATATGTATTTTCTATAAAATACATATTTTTTGATTTTGAAAAATTGTCAGAAATTTTAAAAGTAACAATATTTTTATATAAAATTAAAAGACAAGGTTAAGTAAGCAAATTCATATACAGTAGTTGTATGTAAGGCAAACTACAGAACGTCGACAAGGAGAAAAGGCAGACAGGACATTGGATAAACACCATCGATAAAAGGTATTGCAATGAGATTCATGACATGCAGAGGACAAAAACATTAACGAAATGTGAAATGTGAAAAGTTTAGTGCTACTATTAAAATTTGTGGTATAAATGAATAATTGTCACTAGAATAAGATGTTAGTCATGAAAAGTAGTCATTAGTAAAAATAGCATCCACATCCAAATAGATGAACGGAACTTAGGAAAAATCATATTTTAAATGAACAATGATGACAATGAAGAAGGAAAGGATGAAGAGAAGCAGGAAGTAAAAGGTTCAAAAGAAAGTTATATGGTAAAAAAAGAGACTATCAGGAGTGAGGAGAACAATATGATGGATATGGATAACAGAAAACATGACATAAATAAAATGAAAGAAAACATGATTAGTAAAATGGATGAAATACAAAATGTAACTAAAAGAATAAAGGAAAATGGTAGAAAACTTAAGGAAAACTTAGAAAATTAGAAGAAAGGCGTCTAAGAAACAGATGTAAAATATAATTCTAGAAACAAAGAAGGAAGTTAAAGAAGAATAAGTGAAGTAGAAGTACTTATGGAAAAAAAAAAAAATAATAAAGAAGAAAGAAATAAAAATAAATGGGGAAGATGTAACAGAAAGAATGAATACATTGGAAAATAAGTGGATAAGTCTTAAAGGTCCCTATTGACATCACCCCAAATGGAATAAATCCGTTTGGACCACAGCATCCAAATGTATTTTACGTTTAGAAAATGTTTATTCCCGATAACTTCATATGGATGCGTGAATAATGTAGTTGTGTTGTTTGGTGCACAGCAAAACTTGGGGTTTCTCAGTCATAAAGCGTCCAAGCTGCAGACTGCTACCAGAATTCGTTAGATATTTGGGACGACTGGATTTCCAGCAAAACTACCATGCCTCACCTGTACATTCAATATTCAAAATTCACGAAGATATTTTGGAATGCAGTCACTCTAATTGGACATTTTACGTTCTCGTGAATAGAGGCCATAAAGTTAGGAAATTTAAATTAGAACTGTCGATTTTTACCGATATACTTAAATGCATCATTAGATTCATTCTGCAGGCTTAGATCTACTCAGCGGCCTATATGTGTGTGGACAAATATCAACTGACGATCTGCAATACTGGAGTTCTAGACTGCAGGGGAACTGTATGGGAATAGGTACTATTAAGGTATTGCTCGCGACTAGAGATTTGTGTATGATATATTATTAGCCGATTATACGAGTATGAGTTAAAATAATATAACTATTTCATGTTAAACTTAATACCTCTGTGTATGAGTGAAGGACTAACGTCCTTTGTCAATAAAGAAAGAAAAAATAGGACAAATATTTGACGAAGGGGGATTAAAATCATTGTTAGCAAAACAAAAAATTTGTGTCACAGAACTCAACGAGCTTTGGTTTTGCTTACTAAGGCTTCGTCTTTATAAGAATTTATCAAACAGTAGATGCTGTAGCTTTCAATCACTAATAGAAGATGATATCACATTTGTATTTTTAATTATTTTCCTTAACTTTATTTTAAAATAATCCACATTTAAAATAATGTCATTTTCAATGGTGGTTTCAAAAGAAAAAATATATAAAGGTATATCTAATAAACCTATGGTATCTACGACCAATAAATATTATACATATTTTGGAGTGACTGCAAAAGCTAAACAAGCAGTTGATTTCATAATACCAATATGACTACAGTGTAAAATTCATTCATGGATACCCAGAATTAAATTATTTGAATCCTTGGCACTAAGTACCATGACTATCTATCTGAAAAATTATTGTACCATCTTAGTTTCTATCCCATCAAGTTAATATTCTAAATGTATTCAAGAATGATGGGCGCTAGAACGATTTCTTCGGGTTCTGGATATTGTACTCCGAAGTGCCATTCCCGTTCTCAGTTAAGGTTCCGGTGGGGGCATGCATAGTATGTGAAAAGTACATTCGTCCTCCTCTTTAGATTTTCTACGTAAATTTTTCTAAGATATTTAAATGTTTTAAGGGCTGAACTGTCCCTCCTCAAAGAGTCACATTACGGTGTTTCTGCTAAGGTTTGGTAATTTTTCTGATCTTGGATGGATCTTCTATACATATTTTGGACTGCTTGAGTACATGAAGATTCAATCAGAGCATACCTGTTCCTTTGGCAACCCATAAACATGTTACAAAATACCTCATGTCCAGTTTCAGCTCCCTTTCTGGTTGGGAGGTATCCTTTTTCGTTTCTTAACACTCTTTTAAGTTTAGGTGCCTATTTAAGAGTGGCCTTATTATATTCTGCCAGGTCCTGGAGGAACTGTTGTCAATCCAATATTAATTCAGATTATACCTCTATCCTTTGCATTACTTAAAGGTCTGCCTGGCTATCTGTAGCAACAGACTCTCTTATCTATAGCATTATATGCAGCCATACTCAACCTGCGGCCCGCGGGCCGCATGCGGCCCTCCAAGCTTTTTTTGTGGCCCGCAACAATATTATTGGTCGCAGCGCTAAATAGCATGCTAATTTTTTAATAAACGTTTTAAATTTTGTGGGGTTACTGCAAAAATAAGATCCAATTTTGGAATTTTCGAGTTAAGTGGGTACACTTTCTACAAGTGTGAAAGAGGTATATATTCATGATAAACAGATAGCCAATAAAAATTAAATCCATGTTAATACATTAACAATATGGACAAACAAGATGGAGTGGCATTTAAACCAAAATATAATCATAACATTGTGTTCAATTGATAAATGTGTCTATCAAACCAGATAATAGGCATATAACTTATTTTTGCTAAATATATTTAGTCCGATTCTTAATAGTGTTTCTGCCAAAACAAGATAAAGGCCAGAACCGAGGGGAAACCAATAACGTCAAAACGTACCTGTATTTCCGAAATCACTTAAAATTTTTTTATGTAATTTAGGTGATTTTACTGAAAATCCACATTAATTTTATACGATGATCTTTTTTTCAAGCCATTTCTGGTTGTGAGCGACGAATTGATTTGAACCATGATTTTAGATGATGATTTTGGAATTTTTGAGAAAATGTGTAGTGATTTCGATGATTTCCAGTGAAAACGTACCAGTATTTCGGGAGTGTTTGCCGCTACTTATTTTTGTTGAATGTGTTCAAATATTACAACATTGTGTCCACGGCATTTGTTTTGTTATGACTAGAGCCGTCTCTGGCCTTTCTCGATTGTTCCGAAATCCACGAGATGATTACGTCACCCTTTCTTTCCGCAATACACCTAACCTTAAACAACCACTAGATAATAACACGTGATGTTTGAATCTCCGTGGTGAACGAGTGATTGGTCAAGATGTAATGGGTGATTGGTCAAGCTGTAACGAGTGATTCGTCAAAACGTAACGAGCGAATCTTTATGTGAAAATTCGTAAATAAATATATTAGTGGTAACAGGCGAATTTGAATTTTAACCATACTTTCTAATAGACAACGTATCGAAAGATTCAGCTATCCTAAATACATTGCACCAGAAAAATAGATTTAATTTATCAATGGGCGAGGGTGGGGAGTTCGGCTTTATATGCCAAACTCGAACAGTATTTATTCAGAGAGATGCATGAAAGGATGAAACAAAGTTTTGGAAATACTTACAAAAAAGTGCAAGTAATATTTACTAAAATTTTGCAAAATCAGATACACCTGATAATTTTCACCATTATTATATGAATCTACCTGTATCCAATAATGTTACTGAAACTTCGACTGAAGATAGTGACACGTACATTGAATTATGATTTGTATGTAGACCTAAAATAAGGCAAGGGACATTTTTTCTCTCTTTTTCTTGCCAAATATTGATAGATTATTAGTTTATTCTTTGTGAAAAATGTTTTCAATACCTTCTTCATTAAAGTTAATAAACGTTTTGAAGCTTTTACTGGGTTTTTATTCAGTTTTAAACGTTTAAATAGTGTTTTATCGAAACTCTAAAAATATGAGTTATCTTGTTTTTGCAGTAACACAACGGGATATATTTATGTTTTGTGTTTTATTTATTAGAGGTCCCCACTAACTAATTTTAGATAGATATCCTAAAAAAAGGTCATCATCCAAAAATATTGCGGCCCATGTAAAAAGGTTGAGTATGGCTGATCATATGGATAACCTAGTTTTAGACTCATGGTATTCCCCAGACAGCACACATATAGACCAATGGACGTCCATTTTATGTCCATATCGGTATTTGGACGTCCAAAGTACGTTCGGTTATGAACATTCATTTGGCAGCTGCATAACCCAGTGGACGTCTGTTTTTGGACTTAATTTTAAATTTAGTAGTATTTTGACGTCTATTGGACGTCTATCTTAGATAATTATTTATTTAGCTTACCAGATAATTGCTGTGTTCAGTTCTTCTTTTAATATAATTGGCCATTAAAAATTTAAAAACTGAATCTCCCCACCCTATAGACTGAACTTGGCACCCA